TAAATAGTGAGGAATATTAGGCCAATGTCATCTGGAGGGATGCTCTTTACCCATTCTTTGTCTTGTTGATTATGCTGTAGTCCATATAACATATGAGAGTATTTATTCAATTATATGAAAAGTTCCAAACACAGACATTTCTCCTGTTTCTGATAGGCTTAATCTCTCGTGTTCATTCTGGTCATCTATTTTAAACCCATTTTTAAAGGTGTCAGCTAGTTCGGATGTTTGCTTGGAAGTGCATTTTGTTGCAATCTGTGCTATTCATTTAATTAAATATATGGACTGTTAGGTTATCTCTATATGGTTTGCCTGGTAGAATGTTCTCTATGCTGAGTGTTTCATTTGATGTTGCAGTCTTTGTGTTCAGCAGCATCTTATAGTAAAGCTTGGCTAGGACTATCCTAAGTTACCCTTCATTACTCTATTGAGGTAGAGAAAAAAAAGCTTTAATTATTAGCTTTTGTTGTTCTTTAAGTCCTTAAAGGTTTCTTGGACATGGAAGAGAGCCTTTTTATGGCAGGGCTGAAGTTTGTAAATGGATATTACTTTCAATTAGGTAACAGAAAGTAAACTCACAGGAAAAGAATGCCAAAGTTTATGAAACAGTCAAATTGGCATTTAAGTGATTCTGTGTATGCCATTGCTTATCTGCATTGCTTTAAGTTCAATTGGTTAGCAAGATTATATATTAAAACAAATAATGACAACAGACAATGAATATTTTACTTCAATAAAATGTTACTGTCAGTTTATGAATGGTGCAGAAAAAGCATGATTTTGTGGCAGGTAATGTTATTGAGTGCATTAAGTGAGGTTAATGTAGGCCACACACATAGTATTGGTTTTTCTGGTCTTCTATTTCAAAGGATGATAAATAGACTGCTTAAGGAGAGTGTGTGCTGTAAAAACACACACCTTTACTTGCAACATGCTCTAAATATTTTAGTTTTAGTTAGGAGTATTTCCTTTTTTGTCTGTTAGAAATGGATTCTTCTGAGACTTGGTGACAGAGAATGATATGTTTTAACAGAGATATTTAGATAGAAACTGTTAACAAATCATGATGGGCAGCTTTTCAGCGGGTAGCTATGTATAATTAAATTTGTTCAACCACAGTATACTATATTTAGAGAAGTGAGGAATTGTCATTTTCTTGTTTGAAAAAAATGGCTAAAAGATTGTCTTTTAAAGTAACACATGTGCTACAAGAAGTGAAATTATTGTTTTTATCATTCAGTATAAATTTTACTTCACATATCACCTTAGATTTTCACATTTGCTTTTTAATTTAAACACCAAATACTTAACACTGATTCTTCATTGCATGTATTCAGTACTATCTGTGTTTCATTTTATTTGCATATCCTTTTAGCATTCTACTCTGAAACAACCTTTAATGAAGTAAATTTCATCATCAACCACAAATAACCAAATCTGAATACTATCCAACATAGTAGAAGAATCTATTTTACACTATTTTACACAAATGACTCATGGGCCAAGCAAGGGAACAATTCCCCCATTTGTGGGGAGGAGGTGCCCTCTTGCTCAGTCCACCAGTTACCACTTCTAAAGAACAGAAAACAAAAAATAATTGAAATGTATATTTGTTTGCAGCTCCTGCTCTGAAATGAAGACTGTATTTGAGAACCAAGTTGCCTTCACTCTCTTGTCAGCTATTATCAAAGTGCATTTTTAAAAGAGCAAGACGTGGTTCTCAACCTGTGGGTCCCCAGGTGTTTTGACCTACAACTCCCAGAAATCCCAGCTAGTTTACCACCTGTTAGGACTTCTGGGAGTTGAAGGTCAAAACATCTGGTGACCCACAGGTTGAGAGCCACTGTGTCACACTGAAGGAACCTGTTGGTTTCATGGAATATTTGACAATGTGAACAACAGTCACATAATAGATGATCATTCAAGTGGCATAACAACTCTATCTGATACAGAATCTTTCTGTAGAATATGATTTCCTGTAGATTTTTACAGCACTGTATACAGTTCATTGTCACAAAAATCTTGATAAGAAAATTAATAGACTTTGAGTCTGAAATGATTCCAGATTAAAACTTATGTTGTATTACTGTCAGAGTTGCAGAAATAGTGTGCAAATTCTAAAATGTATTAGAAGCATGTTGTCAATACATGTGCAGAGAAGCCCTCAAGAGGTATTCTAATTTATAACTGTTAAATATTTGAGACAACCAGCAATGTAGTGGTTAGATTATTAAGAAAACTAAAGGCAATCCCTCCTCTGAACAAATCTTGCCAAGAAAACCCCATGATAGCTATAAGTCAGAAATCATAGAATCATAGAATCATAGAATCAAAGAGTTGGAAGAGACCTCATGGGCCATCCAGTCCAACCCCCTGCCAAGAAGCAGGAATATTGCATTCAAATCACCCGACAGATGGCCATCCAGCCTCTGTTTAAAAGCTTCCAAAGAAGGAGCCTCCACCACACTCCGGGGCAGAGAGTTCCACTGCTGAACGGCTCTCACAGTCAGGAAGTTCTTCCTAATGTTCAGATGGAATCTCCTCTCTTGTAGTTTGAAGCCATTGTTCCGCGTCCTAGTCTCCAAGGAAACAGAAAACAAGCTTGCTCCCTCCTCCCTGTGGCTTCCTCTCACATATTTATACATGGCTATCATATCTCCTCTCAGCCTTCTCTTCTTCAGGCTAAACATGCCCAGTTCCCTAAGCCGCTCCTCATAGGGCTTGTTCTCCAGACCCTTGATCATTTTAGTTGCCCTCCTCTGGACACATTCCAGCTTGTCAATATCTCTCTTGAATTGTGGTGCCAAATGACAAATGACTTGAAGATACACAGAAACAGTAGTCATATGGACACTTGCCTTAAGATAATCACAATTGAGATTTTCCCCAAAATAAACAAATATTTGTGAGATTGAACTATCTATCAGTATCTTTGTAGTCAGCATTTGCATGCGTAAAATGTTAACTGGACCTTTATTTCTTTCCAGGGATGTGGATTACCCACTTATTCACCTTCTATGTACAGCATGTCCTGAATGTGTATTGCCTGTTGATCTGCAGTTTGTGTCTAGAGTACACCATACATTAGACAAAAGAGGCCATAATATTTTATTGCCACCATTTAATCTTGGCAACTACAACCCAGAAGAGCTTTTCCCAGCTGCTGCTGCTCTTGAGGACAAGATGGAAAGAGAAAGGTAGGAATAGCTAAGATTTTGTATAGCCTTCAAGGGTAGTAGAGTATTGTAATAAAGCTATGCATTAATGTTTCTCTTATGCACAAAAAACTGGTTCATGCACTTTTCTTTATCTGCTGACCAGGTGGATGAATTTCACACATTTGTTCCCATTCCATCCTGGTGCCTAATGCTGAAATGGCAGTGGCTTATGTCATCCTTTTCAAGCACATGTTTGTGCAATACTTTAAAGCATTTTCTTTGTATTCTCAGAACTGTTGCTCAGTGCCTGGGCCACTTCTGACTGTGTCACACTTCTGTCTGTCTAGCCCCAGACCATTTGCAAGACAACAACAGATTGCGTGCAACCTGATGATGTAAATATGCTGGTAAAAATGATAGGGAGAGGAGAAAAAAGCATTAGCAATATTTCCCCTTCAGATCCATGATCAAGAAAATAATTGAGAATTTCCTTTTGTGGTACTGTGTTTTGTGAATGTAGTGAAAATTTAAAAACTTATTATCTTTCTTTTGACTTCTCAGTTTAACAGTGGCATAGGATAGAGTAGGTTACTTCTGAGGTTGTTTCATGCATTGAGACTCAGGCTTTTAAAAGCTCACAATTATGATAGAGACAAGGATCTGTCCCTTTAGTTCAAAGAGGCTATTAAAATAATTCAGCTGAAAATTTATTTATTTATTTACTATATTTATACCCTGCCCTTCTCAACCCTGAAGGGGACTCAAGGCGGCTTTACACATAGGCAACTATTCAATGCCTTAAAACAATGTACAATTAAAATAAACATTTTAAGATAGAATTAAAATACATTATTTATTTATTTATTTATTTATTTCTGGTACTTTTACCCCGCCCTTCTCAACCCCCGGAGAGGGACTCAGGGCGGCTTACAGAAAAGGCAGAATTCAATGCCTATACAAAATTACACATAATATACAAAAATATACAAAAGAACAAATATACAAAAATGTAATTAAAACGATTATCACAATTAAAACATCAACAACCGGTACATAAGACATTATATAAAACATCATATAAAAACATCATATAAAAGTCATTAAAACATAAAAAAATTACATTCACTCTTAGCCACGCTATCAGCAATTGTAATCTGGGACATTCCAGTGGTCATTGAACATAATTCCATATCCATCTATTGCACTACAATTGTTCTCTGAAGGCTTGATACCAAAACCATATTTTACTCTCTTTCAGAAGATCAGGAGGGAGGAGGCTGATATAATATCCTTGGGGAGGGAATTCCACAGCGAAGGGGCCACCACTGAAAAGGCCCTGTCTCTCATCCCTCCCAGTTGCACCTGTGAAGGAGGCAAGATCGAGAGCAGGGCCTCCCCAGATGATCTTAAATTCTGAGATGGTTCATAGGGGGAGATACATTCAGACAGGTAAGCTGGGTCAGAACCATTTAGGGCAGTGGTTCTCAACCTGGGGTCCCCAGATGTTTTTGGCCTACAACTCCCAGAAATCCTAACAGCTGGTAAACTAGCTGGGATTTCTGGGAGTTGTAGGCCAAAAACATCTGGGGACCCCAGGTTGAGAACCACTGATTTAGGGCTTTATAGGCTCTAGCCAGCACTTTGAATTACGCTCGGTAGCAAACTGGCAGCGAGTGGAGCTGACATAACAGGGGGGTTGTATGCTCCCTGTATGCCACTCTGGTGAGCAATCTGGCTGCTGTCCATTGGACCATTTGAAGCTTCCAAACAGTCTTCAAAGGCAACCCCACATAGAGTATGTTGCAGTACTCTATTCAAGATTTAACCAGAGCGTGTATTACCATGGCGAAGTCTGACTTCCCAAGGTATGGATGCAACTAGCACACAAGTTTTAATTGTGCAAATGCTTCCTTGGCCACCGCTGAAATCTGGGGTTCCAGACTCAGTGATGAGTTCAGGATCACTCACAAGCTGCGAGCCTGTGTCTTCAGGGGGAGTTTTAATGTTTCAGATTACTACATGAAAAGGCTGTACTCTCCCTAGAAGTCAAGATGACAAAGATGAGAGTGTCATACTTTGGACATATCATGAGGACACATAATTCACTAGAAAAGACAGTAGAGCTTGGCAAAGTAGAATGCATCAGGAAAAAATGAAGTCCATATTACAGGTATATGGTCTCAATCGAGGAAGCCACAGCCTTAAATTTGCAAGACATCAGCAGGGTGAATAATGACAAAGTGACTTGAAGTTCTCTTATCCATTGGATCATCATCATCATCATATATATATATACATATATTCTTTTTTTTAAATTCTGCTCTATCTCCCGAGGGGACTCATAAGTCAGTATTGATGTAATGGTAGTCAAGAACAATATTAAGATAATTTAATATATCTTTTAATTGGTGAGTAGTGTGAACAGTTTGCCTAATTATTTTATCATTTACACAGCTTACAGTATATTTATAGAAACATAACCATTTGGTTCCTATGCTCATTGCAGTACTGATCCAGTTGAGATGTCATCTTTTCATACAATATGAAGTCAGATAAATCCACAATTTGTTTTGGATCCAAGCTAATATGTAGATTTTAACCAGAATTCAATACTTAAAGAAACAAGTTTTACTATCTCAGATTACTATATGAATACAAGAATTTAAAAATATTTCAACAATATCGCAGAAAGAGAGAGAAAGAGAGAATTTGTGTGGCATTGATTATGTTGTCTGTCATTGCATGCTTTGTGACAGCAGAGGTCTCACTTTATGTTTTGGTAGAAATAGTTCCATGGCTTTTTAAAATTAGCTATTCAGGTTGGGTTTTGTATAATAAAAGTTGGTGCTTTCAAACTGAAGAAAAGGTTCATTTTTACTTGCATTTAAAGTAAAAGATGTGTGTGTTTTTTAAAAAAAGCATTGACAATTGTTAATGCTTTTAAATATCAGTTATAAGGGTAGAAACAATCGCTTTCTCCTTTAAAACACAATCTATGGGGAGCTTCTCTGCATACCTTTTTTAAAAAGGGGAAATTGTCTAGTTTTGATCTTGGTGCAGCGGAAAATGAAGCCATGCTGGTGGCCACAGGGACTGCAAAACAGGTGGTGGTGCAGCTACATGTGACCCATAGATTCCATGTTGTCGATCCCTGACTTAAGTGCTCTTTCATGTCTTGTGCTAGCTCAATGCATTCCCATTGGCAATTTTAATAAAATTTTGTTTTGGGCTTGACCCTTTTTGGGGGAGATAATATAATAAATACTGTTTAGTGAAGGGAGTTTCATTGCCATTGTGTCTGCAGTTTCTGTTTGTTCTGGTTTATGTGCTCTGGCTGATATCCTGCAAAGAGGAATGAGTCATGAATAGTGACAACTGATACAGATTGCCGAGTTTCATCAATAGAACTGGTTATTCTACTCATTGGTCTCACAGTTACATGGTAAGAGCTAATCTGTACTTAGGGATTTATTGGCAAGAGATACCTTTATACTTAATGTCACCTGTATTGGAGATATCACTATAGCTTTTGGAACAATAGAAAGTTATTTAGTCAGTAGACAGCAGTATCTAATTGTAGGGTCTGGAGAGCAGTGGTGGTATTATGATTATGCTGGTGTATTATTTCCTGCCTGTAGATGTTCAGTATTATCTTTTATATTTATCAAGACTCTGCTAACAAATCCATAAATCTGAAAAAGTGCTGAGAGTTTTAGGAGAATTGGTGGGGTACTCCTAAAAAAACATACTTTGCTAAAACCTTGATTGCTATATTGGAGAATGTTGGGCTTCTGTCACTGGTTTGGGTCATGAACCACAAGTTCTGTAATGACTTTCAGCAACATGAACTGAAGGTTACAAAAGTTGCAGAACATAAGCCTGGGTTCAAGATGCAGTACATGTAGAATGAATAATGATTGGAAATGTTTCACTCTCGTTGATTGCAGAGACTCTTACTTCATGTGACATGCTTACTTCCAATCAATAATTTAATGCAAAGTATTGCCTATATTGTTTCATGATCATTGTCACTTGCCATTACAGGTTGGGTATCCCTTATCCTAAATACTTGAGACCACTATGCTAGATTTCAGATTTTCTGTGGGGATTTTGGAATATTTGCATATACATAATGAGATGTCTTGTAGATAGGCATTTCTAAATATGAAATTCATTTATGTTTCACATACACATTATATGAGTACACTTAACCTGAAAGTAATTTTAAATAATTTTGTATATGAAACAAAGTTTGTGTCCATTGAACCATCGAAAAGGAAATATGTCACTATTTCAGCCATCCATGTAGACAAATTGGATTTATGAGCATTTCAGATTTCTAGATAAAGCAAACATTGCACAAGAATAATCAAAGACACAGAAATAATAATTATAAAGCTTTCATAAGGGAACTCATTGGGGAGATACTCTATTAGGTCAGTGGATAATGGATGGTATTCGACCATATTGATTTGTGATCATTTATTTGCCAAAGCTGGGCACATTTGCCTATAATTCCTAGTGAGATAATTTTGTGAAACACCAGTAGATGTCACTGTCAGCATGCATCAAGGAAAATAATTGTAATTTAAATGTATTCAGAAGGGTTAGAGCTTGTTTGTATCATTGTGTTTCTTTCTTCAGCTTAAACACATCCTTATTGGCATTTTGATCACTGTTTTTTCTGTTTTGTTTTGTACTCTTTAGTAATTAGAACCAAACAAGACCAAAGTTTTGTTGAAGGCTTTCAGCAGCTTACATTAAAAGCATTTCAATACAATTTAAAATCTACAAATATACAAACAAAAATAAACAACAATGTTATTTTTAAAATCACAGTTAAAATCCAAAACAACCTATATCCAAACCTTAAAACCACAGCACCCCTTGACTGGATCTTTAAAACCTTCTTTAAAAGCCTGCCTGAATAAAAAGGTTTCAGCCTACCACTGGAAGGAGAGCAGGGAGAGGGCCATTCTGGCTTTCCTGGGCAGGGAGTTCCAGAATTGAGGAGCAACCACTGAAAGAGAAGGCCCTCGCTGTCATTCCCACCAGCTTGAGATGGAGGTGGAACCAAGAGAAGAGCCTCTCCTGAAGATTTCAGGGCACAGGCAGGTTCATTCAAGGAGATGTGCTCAGCCAAATAGCTTGGGCCTGGACTGCTGAAGGCTTTAAAGGAAACAACCAGTAGTTTGAATTGTGCCCAGAAACAAACTGGCAACCAGTGGAACTGCTGCAACAGGGGGGTTGTCCGCTCTCTGTAGTCAGTCCCAGTTAGCAACCTGACTGCAGCTATTTGGACTAGCTGAAGTGTCTGAGAACTTTTCAAACACATCACAGTAAGCCAAATGGGATTTTAAGAATGGACAGTTGCTGCTAAATCCTTAGTTCATTTTTGTCTGCACAGCAGGAGCATTGTTAGAAACTTTGGCTCTCTTCTGCTTGTACTTTCACTTCTCTTTTCACTTGTTTTGACTGGATAAGGTTTGATCTCTTGGCTTTTGATGTGTCTTGTTCCTCGACCTCTGGATCTGTTGTATCTCTCAGTTTTTGACCTCAGCTGCTTGTCTTTCCAGTAGACTCGACCTTCAGCTTGTGTTACTTGTTTATGAATATGTCTTCGACTAGCTTTTTCAAAAAGGTTTTCTCCTACACATCTTAAAGGTTGGGCTGCCTCATATAAGGAGAGATGGTATTTCAGACAGTCTAAGCTTTATAAAGCTTTGAAGGTTATAACTGTCACTTTGAATTTTGTCTTGAAATGGATCAGTAGCCAGCAGAGCTGTTTCAGCAAGAAGGTTATATGCTCCATATAACCTGTCCCGGTTTGCAACCTAGCTGCAGCATTTTGGACTTCCTCAAGTTTCTGAACAGTTTCAAAGACAGACCCATATAGAGTGCACTACAGTAATCCAGATAGGATGTAATCAAGGCAAGTGTCACCATAACTAAATCTTATGTCTCATAGAATGGGAACAACTGGTGCAACAATTTTAGCTGTGCCAACGCACTGGTGACCCCTGCTGAATCCTGAGCATGAGGGTCAGATCGGAGCAGGAGCATGCCCAGGCTATTCACCTGAGATTTCAGGGAGAAGGTGACAGCATAAATCCTATGTCCTGACCTACCTTTTGAGTGACCAGGAGATTCTCTGTCTTGTCTGGATTAAATTTCACTTCGTTTCACCTCATCTAGTACATTACTGACAACAGCTACTGGTTTATCACAGAGCTTGCTTCCTTGGAATTGGAGGGAAAGGTGTGATAGATTTAAAGACAGTGTATATTAGTGACACCCACCCCCAGAATTCAAGATAGTCTCTCTCAGGGGTTTTGTATAGATGCTCTATAGCATAGGGAACAAAATTGATCCTTGAGCAAAATTACATAGCGCTAATTTCTGAGTTCTTTTTTCCAAGAAGTTCAGGAGTCATTGCAGAAGAGTGTCAATAAGCCCCATCCCAGATAGAAGGCTCCAAAGGATATCATGGTTGATTATACTGAAACCCACTGAAAAATCCAAGAGAATTAACATGAACATGCTTCCCTTATTCAGTTCCCTGCATAGGCCATTCCTTTAAGCAACAAAAGCTGGCCTTGTCTCATAGTCAGACCGAAAGTTAGATTGGCTCTAGACAATCAATTTAATCCAAGAACCCCTGTAACTGGGAGGCCACCACATGCTCCAGAACTCCCAAAGAACAGCTGGTAGTTATATACAGTATTGTATATACTGTAGGTGGGTCCTTTAAGCGAAAGCCTCACCATAATTAGATGAGATGGAACTCTGCCATGTTGCAGTGAGGCATTCATTACTCCCATTACCCAACCCAGCAAGTCATATGATGGATAATGTATTGACAAAG